GGATCCTCTAAGTGTCAGGCAGACGCTTAAGGATATACGTGCCCTGACCAAAAGGTCTCCAGATAATCCTGTTAGCATTCAGGGTTAAGGAGGACTTAAAGGGTGTGAAGACAGGGAGATAAAGTTAGACAGGGAGATAAGCAAAAGGACTAGATAAACAAAGATAGCAAAAGAAAGAGGATGTGTTGTGGATATTTTTACATATTTTGACAAAAGCAACAAATATTAATTCGTTTCTACTAATCCGTACTTCCTAATTTACCTTCCTTTCCCTTATCCTCCACTTGAATCATCTAACCTCACATTAACTATCTCTGTTATCTCCTTACCGCTTGCCCTAAAATTTCAGCAGTGAAAGAAATATTTGAAATTGTGACACCTGCAGAAGACATTCCATAGAAAAGGTTGTTTGGATTGAAGTTCTGTTGATTTCCCCCCAAACATTTTGCTAAAATATTTGCTAAACCTTTTCCAAAAAACATCTAAATACTGTATAACTATTAGGATGTACACAGCAAGACTTGAGGCAGAAAAATCATCACTTTAGAGAGATACATACTGCATTACAGCTAAAAGATTAATATAGAATAATATTAATCATAAATTTATATGATATTTATACATATATGTGGTGTAGTTGAATACTAACATAACCTCAACTGAGGCATAAATGTCATTAACTTGAAGATTTGATGCATTTGCTTAAGCTGAGGTTTGTCCAGGCTGAAATAATCATACAAAATACAACTTTAACATTTTTTTTAAAAAGGAATCTGAATTTGCAATGGGCTACGTGTAGTTGTTAGGAAAGTTGTCTTGCAGTAAGAAGCTCCTTAATAAGGTTTTTGTACCGTCACAGGGTTTTGTACAAAACCATCTGAATAATATGACTGTTATTCATATTTTTGAATAACAGTCAACTGAGGCATTCATATCTTTGAATAACAGTCATATTCAAAAATATGACTGTTAAGTTAATTTGGTCTCTCAAAATGTGCATGAATTCAAAGTGTGTTTGTATATTATTGTATTTCCTACATGTCTCTGTGATACCCTGTGTTGGCATAACAACCTGTCTAAGGTGTACTCAAAAATAACCACTGGAAATCTGGACCAACCCCATGTCCCTGCAAAAAAAATGTGTATAGAAAAAGGATGGGTGGGCTTACAGGGTCACACTGTGGAGTTTTATTATATTAGACACATGGGCAGATGCCCAGGGCAGCATTGTAGGGGATTAGGGGGGGAAATGTGTGCATAAGCAGTAGATCTGAAGTAAAAATAAACTTTTGGTTGAAACTTGAACAGATTTTTCACACTTTTCTACATGTGCAGTATAGAGAGTTGGCGCCCCCTGCTGGCTGCTCAGAATATGGACATTGTATGTGCTTTTGATGATGACACGGCAGGCCTTGATGCCATGTCCAATTTTTGGGATTTTTTTTTTTTATTGTGTGTTTGTTCATTCCACTGAATGATGCAGCCACAATCAGGACTCTGTGTAAAACATTTACCAGCCCAAAGCAGGAAGGTGCCATACAGCAGCCCACTGTTTATGGAAGTAGCCATGGATCCCTCCGTCTATGGATAAACTTTAAAGTTATCCAGCAACGGAGCCAACAGTATTGTTACAAGACAAAGGAAGCTAAGAAAACCAAAAGAACAATTAATAGTAAAGGCCTGTTGTGGAACGTTGACTCCATCTTCTGTAGAGAAGTGTTTTTGGAGAAATTTGGTCAATGTGAGCAGCTGTTCCTTTAGATGAACTGGATGGTGTCAATATTTGAGAAAATTGTTTTTTTTTTTTGGTTGATCCAGTGCCCAGTTTTTCCTGGATCATTTTCTGAACATCCTAACCCAAACTGCACCTAATTTCTTTTTATCTAGAGGTTTAGATTGTCTTCCAGAGCCTGACAAAGAGGCAAAACATTGTAAATGTATATGAGAATATGAAAGAGTATAAATATAGTTTCAAAAGATTTCCCTAGCTTGTATAAATTCTGTTTTAAAAATGATCTAAACTAGTGGTGAGACTGGTTTGGTCACCGTATTACGTCCTTTATCAAAGTTGAAAGTAGCCTCCCTTGGCCTAGTTCCATTCTGTCAACAAATCTACTGGCTGTGATACATCTAGAAGGTTGGCGTCATGTTTGGTACCCAAAACCTTTATTTTGTTTTTGGAATCTCTTCTACTTAGAATCAGCTATGAGTACACAAAAATTGCGAGTTTCATTAAGTTTACCTGCATCTCCAGGGCCTTGACTCGATGCCGGTGGTTCCTCACCTCCTCCTGCAGCTCAGACATTGTCTCCCTCAACTCCTTAAGCTGCTGCTTTCTGTTTTGGTTCTCTTGAAGCCAGAATGAAATCTCATCTGTGCAGCGAAACATGTCCGGGCAACGTTTCTCTGTCGTTCCCACACGAGGCAGAGTTGCCATCAGGCGACAGTGTCCATTAGGCATCAGCTGGCTGCTGTACTCTCCACAGTGTGTCTGGTTCAAAGTTTGGTTGGTGTTACTGTCCACACCACCTGCACGGTCGATCTGTATGACTGCTGGGGCATCAGGATTCAGGTCAGAAAACGCTTCTAGGATTGAGGCAGAAGGATGCCAGTCAGCATCCTCATAGGTGCCCTGGTTTATGTCAGGTACGTTCCAGTTTGACTCCATCTGCATGTCAGGTACATCTCTTGGTTTCCGGGTGTTCTTGTCCAAAATATTTTCCCTGGACTCTTGTGCATCCTTCAGTTCAACTGTAGAGTGTTCATTTAAGTCCACAAAGTCAGTACTGGCATAACGGAAACACCAGCCAGTGAGTAAAAATGTCCACAGCACTGGTTCTAACTTCATATTGAAAATTTAGCAAGTTGCCCTGTCTGGCTGCTGTTGACTTTAATCCATTGTAAATCCAATTCACCAGTGTAATCAGTTCCAGGATAAACATCAGGAGACAACATTGTAGCAGGAGAATGACGTCTGGTGTGGTTCCACATTCAGAAACTGGTAACCTTTACCCTGAGCTGATAAAATTCTCATGATATTTACTAAATCTTTTTGGATGGACTGTGGCTGAAAATTATTTTCAAAAACCGATGAAGCAAAATATTCTACTGTCTATGCTCAGCAATGGCCTGACTGTAATAAGTCTGTAAAAACAACAACAACAATCCATTGCTCTCTTTTTGCTGCCTCAGACATGACTTTGCCAATGTGTTTGTGGAATCAAATAGTTTCAGGCCTTATTTTATGCTCTATATTGTCAATGTTGCAAATTATGGTCACGTTTAGCTTTAATGCAATTAAAATGCAATTTTTAGGCTAGTCAACCCTGTGATTAAAAGGTAACTTCCTAAAGACATATCTAATTAATGCAGTTCTCTGTCAGATGCATCACTATAAATATTTAATTTCAAAGGAAAAAGTCTGAAAAGGGGAAATAAGCTTTGAAAAGGACAGTCCTACCTGTGGCCATGTCTCAGTCCTGAATTCAACTCAGTACAACAGCACCTATACAGCTACACTGTAAGACCGTGTGTGTATGTGTGTGTGTGCATGTGAGGTGTGTGTGGGTGTGTTCAGCACCGGGTATGACATCTTATCCTGATAATCTGATAAGAAGATTGGAAGCCATTTCCCTTAAAGGTAATAAATTACAAGGAGGATCAGAGTAACCTGACTGCAAATTAGACTAAATACATTACAGGAGATAAAGAACCAAATAAAGTCTGCACATATAGTCTGTATTCTCATAAAATAATAATTTTAATTGTTAAATATTATTATGTTGTTTTGCTTTTACTTTAGTGTTGTCCTCCGCTTAGGTTTGCATATTTGCTAAGTTCGAGTGTTCAGTTTCCCATAGCTGGAATTTCAAGCAGCTTGGAACCCCAAAAAACAAGAGCAGGACGGGCTGCCAATGACTGTGAAGGATGCTATCTTACTTATTTATTAATTGTGTGATTTGAGTGTTCATGCTTCTAAGTAGACCTGGAGGTCCTTCTAAATGCAATAGTCCCACAATTCTGTGTTGAAATTCATAATTTTATTTCCATTTGAACATACACAGCGTTCAAATGCACTGTGATATGTTTAATTATTGTCTCAACTTTTCCAATGTCCTTTTTTATAACTGAAACATTTATCTGTTAAGTTGTCAAACTTGCACAACAAATCCTATTTTATGCTATAATTTTCTGTAACTTTGAGATGTATAACATATTTTTGAACTTAATTGAACATGATTACAATTATTAAAGAGCAAGTAATGACATCCGAAGCAAATCGATGTCTGTATTTCCTCCCTGACCATGGTGCCCCGTATATGAACCGAACTAAGTGGGGGCTCAAGGTCAAAGCTGCACTAATGGGTTTATATTTAGCTGCCTGCCTCAGGAAGAACCTTGTGTTGCTCCATTAGAGAAAGAAAAACAACCCTGAAACCTTTTAATGGCCTTTGACTTGAAGTTAAGTTTTTTTATTTCTGTCAACTAAAGTGTCTTAACGTGCAAAACAAAAAGTATTAGGCTTTGAATGTACTTGAACATTGAAGCAAATGAGTGTGGTAATATTAGCAGTAAAAAAAATACCTTTTTTTCTGTCACAGCTTTATATTTTCAGCTTTGGGAGTCTCTTTAATACAGCTGATGATACAGCAAATGACCAATTTTCATTTTGAATAAAACAGGTGCAAATGGAGATAATCTTTAGATTCTTTACCAGTCTTGATCAAAATAGTAAACAGGACGACCAGCACTTTTTAATACGTTCAAATTTGCCATTTTGTAAATTTTAAATGCATTTAATAATACATGTTTTCCTAAAGAGCAACAGATGTCAAGATAAATTAGAACTTCATTGAGGGCTTTTGATTGGTTGTTTACTTTTGCAGAGTAATCTATATTTACAGACCTCTTGAGCAAAATCATAGAGGGTCGCAGTGACGTCAGTTTGTTTGTGCGCAATGTTTGAGTGTCCTTGGCTGAAAGGGTATAAAGTCAATCGATCGGTCAGAAGTAAACAAGAGGAAAGTCAGAAATCTTTGGTGGAAGGAAGAGTAGAAAGACCCAGGAGAAAAGGTGATTATTATTATTATTATTATTATTATTATTATTATTATTATTATTATTATTATTATTATTATTATTATTATTATTATTATTATTCCTTCACAGTAGAAATAAATATTTTAGAATATTTAAAACATTAAATAGCTATGATGGCAGTTGTTTTATTTAAGTTTAACCATTTATTTTCTAAAAACGTTAATGGTGAACTTCACCTTACTGCATAGTCATAATGAGAAGCTTTTATGTTGTCAATCTCCCGCAGAAATCAGAAGAATGCATCCTGTGTTGCTATTGGTGGTTGCAGTGACGGTGGGCGGGGCCAGAGCGGCGCTCAGTCGCTGTTGGGAGCGCCAGAGCTGCCAGGAGCTCATCTCTGAGAGCAGCATGATGGTAAATACAATCAGACACATTTGGCTTCGGGAAAGTCAGTTTGGGTACAATGTCACATTTTTTAAATTGAACAAATTCATTCTTTTGATTACTTATATCATTTATTTCAGCAAAACCTCTTCATTTTTGAAGATTACAGATAGATAAGAAACATATGCAATCAGAATATTAATGCAAAATATCTAATCTTGAAGTTTGATGTTTCAACTGCTTGAGGCAGAAAGTTATGACAAACATGAGCATCAAAGAATATTACAGATCTGACAAGAGGAAACTATTTTCCTGTTAACATCAACTACAGTCTGCTGAGGTTTACTTTGCACACTGAAGCAGTTTTAACATGTAGTAATTTCACAAGAGCATTTCCAACATTCAACTGTGAACCTTATAGAGATGGATTTTTCCAAATAAAGAAAATAAAGAGGGTAACCTGTAATATAGTTGTGAGAGACAGACATAGTGTTTTGAGAAATTTGCTTTTTGTGGTTGCTGAATAATTGTTCAATTTGCCTTAAGAATAAAAAGTTATTAGGTTAGTTGTGTGATGTTTGTTCTGGTTGTTTGGACATTATTTGTGGGGATTCTCAAGGGTTTGTACTGGGTTCCAAACTTTGTCTAATTCATGTAAATGACAATATATTCATGAATAGCAAGTGGAGATAGCAAGTTCCAATGGGAGATACTGAATGAAATTGAAACGTCAGTAGAATTTAAAATATGTTTATTTCCTCACAATTTCCCATTTGTTTGCTCATCTTGCAGGAGTGTTTCCAGCTCTGTGGACTTGACCCTCTTGAGATGACCACCATCCTTAGCAGTGTTCAGCATCCTCCGTCATCTGTCTTTCTTTCTCCTTCACCCTCTTCCTCCTCCCCTCAAGCCAAACATTCCTACTCCATGGAGCATTTCCGTTGGGGGAAGCCTCTTGGGAGAAAGCGTCATCCAGCGAAAATCCCTGCAGGCAAAAAGGTGGATGGGGACTCAGCTGAGATTTTCCCTGGAGAGCTGAGGTGGTGGGAGCTTTCCAGGGAAAAAATGACTGCTGAGGATGAGGAGACACAAGACGAAGCAGAGGAGGCCTCCAATGAGCATCACGATAAAAAAGACATCCCGTACAAGATGAAGCACTTCCGCTGGAGCGGCCCTGTGGTGGGCAAACGCTACGGGGGCTTCATGAAGAGCTGGCAGGAGAACAGCAAGAGGCCGCTCATCACACTCTTCAGAAACGTCATCAACAAAGAAGGAGAGGAGGAGAAGAGGGCAAAGTGAGGAAGAAGGGAGGAAATGGAAATGAACAGGAGGGGGAAATGACCAAAATACAGAATATTATTACATTTATCTTACAACTAAATATGTAATACTAACTTTACAGTCTTTTGTAAAGAAAGAAAAATCTTATTTAACCGCATTCATAGTTTGCTTAGTGTATGTCAGAAAATACAGATTGTTGATACTGAAACTTTGTTTTTCTTTACTTCTAGATATATAAATAACACAAAAAGACAGAAAAAAGACTTAAACATATAAAACAGGTTAGTGGTGAGTATTTTATTTAAAAAAACATTTATTGATGATCTAACTTATAGTTTCAGTACTGTAACATTTTTTTAAATTGGTGGAAGTGTTTCTTATGAACAGGGAGCTGGAAAGAGAACATGAGTAACACCAGTTATGGTTTTGAACAGATGACACAGATTTCCTGTATTTTGACAGATACAAAAGATAGAGAGAATTATTATATTATATATAGAAGGTTTTCTTTCAAATCCATATTTATCAGCCCTGTTTTAAAGCGGCAATGTCTAAAATCTGTAAAAACAACCGCATGCAGGCTCTATCATGGCCACATGAGGGCAGTAGTTACACATGACCTGCACACTTCTGTATCTTACTTTTATGGAGTTGGGCATGAACAGGTTACAGAGCAGTAACACTAAGTTATTAATACAAATAAAAGCTGAAAATATAAATTTCTGTTTAATTAATTTTCAGTTTTCTTACTTCGGCTCCACTCTTCAATATTAAAGAAATGTTGGCTGATAAAAGAAAGAGGAGGCTGAAGATGAGTCATGGTGATATTTTAATTTTCATTTTATGAAGTTACTGTGGATATCAAGAAAAGTATAAAGACTGTTGCAAGCAAAATACATGTGGTATGTGAGTTTTTTCCTCTCCTTTTAGAAGTGCACATCAATAAACAGCTAAGAATGATTATGAACAACGCCTTATTATAATAAGCAGAAAGGTCAAAGAAGCAGAAAGGTGTCAAAAAATTATACTGAAAATACTGAGATAAAAAAAAAACAACAACAAAAAACTGGTACATAAAACTCATGCAAATGTTTCACTCCTCTCTTGTCAATTAGTTTCCATGACAACTGACAGGCATCACTGATGAACCATAGCATCAAGTCAGTTTCAGGACAACCAGTCCTTTTTAAATATTTATTTTTAGACTCTACAGGAAATGAAGAGGAGGGTGAAGAGGAAGAGACGCTGCTGAGAAATGCTGCAGTTTATTACTGTAAAGGTGAATTTCTGAGAACTGGTCAAAATTTGTTCTCAAAAAAAAAAAATCTCACAAAATTCCCCTCCATCAGTCAGAGCAGAAACTGAACGGCAGCTGCATCAGTTCACTCAACACATCCTTCCTCACCCACCCACACACATGCTCAGTGTAACAGCTCAGTTTTAAGAATATTTAAGAAAAAATTGTATTGATATGAAGATAAAATAACTTAAGCCCAAAATATTTATTTCTAGTTTGCTCTAACTAAAATGTCAAAGTTGACTTTTCATATTTGGTGAAGAATTGGGGAGTGAACACATGCCTGTGTTTAAAAATATTTCAGCTCTTTAATCATATTTCATGTTTAATAATATATGACCTGATGTGATTTGGCGCATAGCATTGTTTATTTTCTGTAAATTAATAAATGTCCTGTTATGTTAATTTATTTTTCTGCTTATGTGAATTACAGGATTTTTAGTTTACCATCTTATTCTGCAGAATCCAAAATATGATTAAAAGTTTCACATGGTCACATATTTAATCAGCAGATCATTGCTACATGATGTTAGATATGTAGATTTTTATCTGTCAGTGTGCAGGAGGAAACATGATGATCTCCATGTGACTGACTGAGTGTGTTTGCATATGTGTCCTGCCTCTCTGCTCCAGCTGTTAAGAGGTCAGAGTTGATCAGTGGCTGTCCAGGCCTTTCAGAGCCACTGACACACCAGCAGCACAACGATGATGTCACTGACTCTACTGCTGACCATCCTGGGGCTCCTGGTTCAGGGTGAGAATGTTCAGGATGTCATCAGATTCACCACAAAGACTTTCTGCTGTGATGGAGAGATTAAAATATGAGCTCGGACCTTCAGTTGAATTTTCTAAGTCTAATGAGTGTAAATATTTTTTTCTCTTTCAGGTTCATCAGGAGACATAATTATGACTCAGACTCCAGGATCTCTGTCTGTTGATCCAGGACAGAGAGTCTCCATTCAATGTAAAGCCAGTGAACATGTAGACAATGAGGTAGACTGGTACCTCCAGAAACCTGGAGAAGCTCCAAAACTCCTGATTTATTGGACATCAAATCGTCAGCCTGGAGTTTCTGATCGTTTCAGTGGGACTCAGTCTGGAACTGATTTCACTCTGACCATCAGCAGAGTTCAGGCTGAAGATGCAGGAGTTTATCACTGTCAGCAGGATTGGAGCTTTCCGTTCACACAGTGATACAACGTCGTACAAAAACCTCCCTCAGCTGCAGAGGAACTGATCCACGGCTGCACTGAAGCAGAAGTTGTTGACAGAATCATGTTCAAAGACGGCTAATTTAAACAACACATTTTTAATTAAACTGTTTGTTCTTTCATAATATATATAACCATAGCACACTATGCTTCAATCTTTTATATATATTAAATTTATAGCTCTTCAAAAGAAGTGAGTTAATCTGAGAAAAGGCATGTAAAGCATGAGGTATTTTCCATCTCGTTTAAAACGTTTTAAAAACTTTGAAGATCATTTGAATCTTGATTTAAAGCAAAACCTGATATAATAATGGCAGAGTTTATAAATATGATCTGTCACTAGCTTTGCTGAATCTCAACAGAAGAGAGATAAATTAAAAATGCAAACTAACAAACTGATGTTCATAAACATGTAATTTCTACTTGTCATTTTAATACTAGTTGCCTGTACTTTTACAGAAAAGGTGGAAAATATAAAAAAACTTGGATTACAATTTAATTTACAGGTGGAAATTTGTATGAAATAGCAAATATATTTCAGTGACTCAATTTACTCAGTGAAGCTCATTATAAAGATTAATTACACATTAATTGATGTTTTCTAGTCTTTTTCTCTGTTAATTATAATAATTTTCCACTGAAAAGCTGATGACAACATTTAATTCCATAGAAGATTAGAATATTACATAAAACTGATAACATATTCAAATACAAAACATAATCTTAATGAAATGTATGTTTGATATTTCTGCTAAAAGGCTGTTATTTTCAAACTTTACTTTTAAGCAGACAAACAGAACACATATTTAAATTTCCAGTATAGTTTTGTGGATTGCAGCACAAAAAACGAGCTCAGTGAATTTGCAAAGAACACAAGACTACACAATGCCTAAAATATATGATGGTACATGTGATGATAAATTATATAATCACATATATAATCACAGCATTTCCATAGAGCCACTTTGCATCAGCAGCTCCATGCTCCAGCGCTCTGGGAGAGTTTATAGTCCTGACAGTTGAACACTGGATGACTGACAGCTGTCCTTCATCACAGCAGAAGACATAGAAATCCTCATCATCATCAGAAACATGACTTTGATCTGCGTCCTCATCTGGACTCTCCTCTGCTGCTGCTTCACAGGTAAAGTCCAGAGAATCCAACTCCTCTCCTCTATGAACATCTGTCCCTCTGAAATGAAGCCGACTAAACCATGAAGCTGCTGCATGTTTTTGTCTCTGTGTCCACAGAGTCCAAAATCCAGGTTTCAGTGACTCAGCAGCCTGCAGCAGTGAGAGCCGATCTGGGAGGATCTGTGACCATCAACTGTAGAACCGGACAAAATGTGTATTATTACAGTGGTTGTTCCTGCTATCGTTTAGACTGGTACCAACTAAAACATGGACAAACTCCTAAGCTCCTCATTTATTATACCAGCACTCGAGCATCAGGGACTCCAAGTCGTTTTTCAGGCAGTGGATCAAACTCTGACTTCACTCTGACCATCAGTGGAGTTCAGGCTGAAGATGCTGCAGTTTATTACTGTAAGGGAGAATTTGATGCTAACAAGTATGAGCTGTTCACACAGTGAAAAACAGTCATACAAAAACCTCCCTCAGTCAAACTGAACAGAAACTATATTGCTGCAGCTTCCAGGTGTTGCAGAAACTGATAGTTTACTGAAATCTTCCACATGAATACACACAAATGTTCATGAATGTGTTATTTTAAAACACCTTCACAAGGGAGAATTTGATGCTAACAAGTATGAGCTGTTCACACAGTGAAAAACAGTCGTACAAAAACCTCCCTCAGTCAGACTGTATAAAATCTCTAGCTGGATGTTACACTGAAACATCTCACTAAGCACAGACACCACGACATTCACGTAAATATTGAAATAAGTGCACGTTTCCTATCTGACTTTGAAATTAATAAAGAGGTTGGAATATTACAACTGGAGAAAAAATGTTGGGAAGGTAAAATTTGACTTAAGGCTGAAATTAAATGTCATCATTCAGGTACACATGGAGATTTTATAATCACAATCTGGGGTTGTGTGTTGAGTTTATTTAAATAAAGGTACCTTTGTTTTGACTTCATTTTCTATTCAAAAAGCAACATCAAAAATTATTTGATGTTAAAATAAAATAAAATAAAATAAAATCCTATTTATGAGTCAGATGTTTGACAATAAACATCTTGGTTAGAACAGAAAATGGGTGAAACTCTCCAGCTGTTCATTATTTGTCCAAAAGAAAAGTTTCAGGGACTCTAAATGGTTTCATAGACAGTAGATCAAACTCTGACTTCACTCTGACCATCAATAAAGTTCAGGCTGAAGATTCTGTCAGAGCTCACATTTTGAACAGCCAACTTTTGGTCACACACTGAAAATTAATCAAGTACTGAATGACTGGCAACTGAACAAACATTTGGGCACATGACACTTTTAATTGCTTATTTAAAAAGAGAGATCTTGATATATATTTTTATCAGTTTTGCTAAAGAATAAATCATAAACTTAATTCATATTATACATAACTGAATAGGATGTAAAGCTTTTTTCTCTTTTAAGCCTATGAAATCATTTTTGGTATAGTAAAACAAATTGTAGCTATATGAATAAACTGAAATGAAATTATAAATTTATTATAATACTACTGAGGAGCTGTTGTTCCTCTGCAGTAAACAACCTCTACTAACATGCAGCACACAGAAACAAAACATTGTTTTTCCTCTGACAAGGTAAAAACAGAAAATAAAGAAGCCGAAACAGGAGTAAGGATTTTGATTTTATTATTTTTGACAGATATTGAGCTTTTAAACACATAACAGAGGTTATGAAGATGAAATAAAACAAAGATTTTTAAAGCAAATGATCTATAGCAAAATCAGACATTAGAAAACATTAGAATCAGCTCAGGACTGGGAGCACTGGTCTCTCCTCAGTGTCTCTGTGACTGCAGACTGGGAGCCCTGGGAGGCCTCACAGGTCACAGAGCCCACCTTCCTCCACTGGTCTGCAGGGAGCCTCAGGGTGCTGCTCCAGCTGTAGAGGCCGTCATTCTGCAGCACCCCGGGGCTCCTGCTCTGCTCCAAGCTGCTGCTGCTGCTGCCGTCCAGCTTCCAGGACAGAGTCCAGTCTGAGGGGAAGCCCTTGTTGGCCAGACACATGAGGGTAACCTGCTGCTGCTGCAGCTCCACACTGGAGGGGGGCAGCACTGTCAGGGTGGGGCGGGTATCACCTAGGAGACACCAATCAGGTTAGAGAACAGGAACCAAGAAGGCATCATTGAAATGACACCAGGACAGATTCACTATGAGAAAGTTGAGTTTCTATATTAAAATGTTTCTGCCAGATGTTTTTCTGCTCCACCAGTTACTGAGACTCTTTGTTTCACTTCCCTTCAGTAAACCTCTCATGCATATCAGCACAGAGAGAAAATTATAACTTTATGCTGAATGAATCAACTAAGAATCCATCAAGAATCGTTGTGACTTGTAGTTAATATTGGTCTAATGCATATTTTTCACATCATATTAATATATTTCAACATTTCCAAAATTTTCCTTCATTCTCTTTTCCAAATTGAATTCATGATTATTCAAAAGATGCTCGGTTGATCAGTTCTAGAAAAGATGTACAGTCTATGAAAAGATTCTGAATCTACAATTCATCTGAAATTTAATTTTTAAACTTTGCAGATTATTTAAACATAGATTTAAAGTAATATCCACAACAACAGAGTAATGAATAAGATTTATTTTTATCTTTATCTTTTATTTGGTCAAATATAGGTGAAATATATTGTAATAAATAAAACATTTTTTACTAATAAAATGCTTTTAATATACATGTATTTTTCAGTTTAGAGATGAAATAATATTCAGATCAGATTCTAAGAAGCTGATTTGATTTGTTCTTGATTATAAGATTACATTTTTCAATTAAATTAAAACTTAATGCAAAAATCTTTTCACTTCACAAAAATTAATGTAGCTAAAGATAAATGACAGGACAATACAACATTTAAAATTAAATTTAGTAAAGAAAAACTTACGTCCAACATCCAGTCTGGTTCCTCCACCGAACGTGTACCACAGTGATACAAACTGGTTGAACCGTCGTACAAAAACCTCTGACTGTTAGAGACACGGCTCTCTGACTCTGACACAAACATATTTACTAAAACATTTATTAGTGGAAACTCATCAAGTAGTATGAAAGTAAACCAACAGAACCTGAAGCCAACATTGTACAAGCAAACATTTTAAATGTACAATTTTCAAACAATTTACTGTGTTTAACAGAATAGATGACAAACTTCTCTAAGGTTATTTTGAAGCAGTGATTTTAGTTAACACGTGATCAACTCTGTCAAAATATGACAGATAAAAATATGCATTATACGAATAACTTCATAATATAATAAATTTCACATAAACATTTTTATTTAAAGGTTTTTCTCAATAAATTACAATATTGAAAAGCTTACTTATTTCAGAAACTATTTACGTTGTGAACACTTAAAACCCACGAGATCATGTTAATTAATTTAAGAGAAAATTGGAATGTTACATCAGAGCAATAAATGAAAAGATGTGATTAATGAAGTGTAAGAATTTTTTTTTTCTTTCTAAAGGTCCTTTTAATCTGACAAACAGAACACTATTTTAATTCACTGAGATATCTGCAATCTAGCAGGTTGCATTATATGAAATTGTCAATGGGGGAAAAAAACAAAGAAAACATCTGATTTGTTCTTCAAAATACTCTGCATTACACAATGCCTATAATAGATAATGACAGGAAATAGGATTGAGTCATTGATAAATAATATCACCACATAGATCCACATTCCCTCCTGTACTCATTCACAGCATTTCCATAGAGCCACTTTGCATCAGCAGCTCCATGCTCCAGCGCTCTGGGAGAGTTTATAGTCCTGACAGTTGAACACTGGATGACTGACAGCTGTCCTTCATCACAGCAGAAGACACAGAAATCCTCCTCATCATCAGAAACATGACTTTGATCTGCGTCCTCATCTGGACTCTCCTCTGCTGCTGCTTCACAGGTAAAGTCCAGAAAATCCAACTCCTCTCCTCTATGAACATCTGTCCCTCTGAAATGAAGCCGACTAAACCATGAAGCTGCTGCATGTTTTTGTCTGTGTCCTCAGAGGTCAGAGGTCAGGTCACAGTGACTCAGCAGCCTGCAGCACTGAGAGCTGATCTGGGAGGATCTGCGACCATCAAGTGTAGAACCAGTCAGGATGTTTATTATTATCGTAGTTGTTCCTGCTATCTTTTAGCCTGGTACCAACAGAAAGATGGACAAACTCCTAAGCTCCTCATTTATGCTACCAGCACTCGAGCATCAGGGACTCCAAGTCGTTTTTCAGGCAGTGGATCAAACTCTGACTTCACTCTGACCATCAGTGGAGTTCAGGCTGAAGATGCTGCAGTTTATTACTGTCAGAGTTATCATAGTGGCTCCGTGTTCACACAGTGAAAAATCATCGTACAAAAACCTCCCTCAGTCAAACTGAACAGAAACTATATTGCTGCAGCTTCCAGGTGTTGCAGAAACTGATAGTTTACTGAAATCTTCCACATGAATACACACAAATGTTCATGAATGTGTTATTTTAAAACACCTTCACAAGGGAGAATTTGATGCTAACAAGTATGAGCTGTTCACACAGTGAAAAACAGTCGTACAAAAACCTCCCTCAGTCAGACTGTATAAAATCTCTAGCTGGATGTTACACTGAAACATCTCACTAAGCACAGACACCACGACATTCACGTAAATATTGAAATAAGTGCACGTTTCCTATCTGACTTTGAAATTAATAAAGAGGTTGGAATATTACAACTGGAGAAAAAATGTTGGGAAGGTAAAATTTGACTTAAGGCTGAAATTAAATGTCATCATTCAGGTACACATGGAGATTTTATAATCACAATCTGGGGTTGTGTGTTGAGTTTATTTAAATAAAGGTACCTTTGTTTTGACTTCATTTTCTATTCAAAAAGCAACATCAAAAATTATTTGATGTTAAAATAAAATAAAATAAAATAAAATCCTATTTATGAGTCAGATGTTTGACAATAAACATCTTGGTTAGAACAGAAAATGGGTGAAACTCTCCAGCTGTTCATTATTTGTCCAAAAGAAAAGTTTCAGGGACTCTAAATGGTTTCATAGACAGTAGATCAAACTCTGACTTCACTCTGACCATCAATAAAGTTCAGGCTGAAGATTCTGTCAGAGCTCACATTTTGAACAGCCAACTTTTGGTCACACACTGAAAATTAATCAAGTACTGAATGACTGGCAACTGAACAAACATTTGGGCACATGACACTTTTAATTGCTTATTTAAAAAGAGAGATCTTGATATATATTTTTATCAGTTTTGCTAAAGAATAAATCATAAACTTAATTCATATTATACATAACTGAATAGGATGTAAAGCTTTTTTCTCTTTTAAGCCTATGAAATCATTTTTGGTATAGTAAAACAAATTGTAGCTATATGAATAAACTGAAATGAAATTATAAATTTATTATAATACTACTGAGGAGCTGTTGTTCCTCTGCAGTAAACAACC